GCAGGTAGAGAGAGCCGCTGGACGCCGCCTCTCCTCAGTCGAGGCGTGGAGGGGAGGGGAGGGGGGAGGGGGGCATGTTTGCCCCCCCCCGCGGTGACTCTCAACAGACAAGAGTCGAGCGCGTCGCGAGCCGTCTCTCGCAACGAATCTCGCAGTTGAGAGGAGGGGCGGAGGCGGACGGTCGACGGCGGGCGGCGGCGCGCCCATTCTCCACGCGATGTGGCGAAGGAGGGAGCGAGGCGTGGGGCGAGGCATCGCCGCCGCCTCCTCGCCTCCCCATCCCTCGCCGCTGCGGTGCACGCCGAGCAGCTGCGACTGCCCGCCCAGCCACTCGCCTGCCCACGCCGCCGAGGCACAGCCGAGATACAGCCGAGAGATAGCCGAGATACAGCCGAGAGATAGCCGACGGAGAGATAGCCGAGAGAAAGCCGAGAGATAGCCGATAGACAGCCGAGAGAGATAGCCAAGAGAGATAGCCGAGAGATAGCCGCGAGAGACAGCCTTAGCTCACCTGCCCACGCCGCCGCGGCGCGCGCCGCGTCTGCGCCCGTGCCAACCACCCCCCGAATCGCCTCCACCGCCGCCTTGACGCGCTCGCCCCCCGGAACTGCGCCAGGCGTCGCCGTGCTATGCCCCGTGTCGGCAGACGGGTCGTTCTCGATCTCGACCACGATCTCGGCCTGCGCATGCGTCTCCCTCGCCGCCTGCACAGCCGCGCGCCCGCCGCCGCGCCCGCCGACGTTGCCGCCGCCGTTGCCGCCGCCGTTGGTGGCGCCGTCTGCCGTCAGCTGGTGCTTGAGACGCCGCTGCGCGGCCCGCCGCATGAGGGCGGGCAGGGCGGCGAAGAGGCCGGCGGCGCCTAGTAGGAAAGCGACTCTAGCTCCAAGTTTTAGTCTAAGGTCGGACTGAGAGCCTGATCCCTCCCTCTCTCCACGCCCCAAGGGACGGTCTGGCGACAGAGTGGGGCGTCATCCTCCCACCAAGTCGTCGCACTCGCGCCGATCAGGCGTGTGCAGCGTGTGTGTGGTGGTGGCGGTCGCCCGACGCGGCTGTGGAGGGGGAGGGGTGTGGTGGGTGTGCAGTGGGTCCGATCTTCGGAATTCCGAACACAAGGCTGTGCTGTGCCCCCTCCTACTCCGCGCGCCTGCGAGGAGGATCGTGGCAGGCAGCGCCTCCTCCACCGCCTGTGCCGCTAGCTCGAGGAGGGGCGGGGCCGACGGCGGAGGCGTCGCTGGCGAGGGCGGAGGCGGAGGCGGAGGCGGCGGCGACGGCGGCGGCGACGGCGGCAGCATCGGCGGCGGCGGCGAGGGCGAGGGCGGCGGAGGCGCCAGAGGCGGCGGCGGCGCCGGCGGAGGCGCCAGAGGCGGCGGCGGCGCCGGCGGCGGCGGGGCTGGAGGCTGCGAGGGCAGCGGCGGAGGGGGCGGCGGCGGCGGTGTGGGTGACAGTGAGGGAGGAGGCGGCGCCGGAGGCGGCGCCGGAGAAGGAGGCGGAGGCGGAAGCGGCGGCGGAGAAGGAGGCGGAGGCGGCAGCATCGGCGGCGGCGGCGAGGGCGAGGGCGGCAGAGGCGGTGGCGAGGGAGGAGGCGGAGGGGGAGACGGCGGCGGAGACGGCGGCGGAGACGGCGGTGGCGGCGATCCGGGTGGTTCTGCCGGTGACGGCGGCAAGGGCCACGTGTCGATTGGCGGGGGCGGAGGGGGAGGGGGAGGTGACGGCCCGTAGCAGGCGCGGTACGCTGTCGGCTTGCAGATTGAGGGCTGCGGCGATCTCGTCCAGGGCGGCCAAGAAGGGAACCGGGGCGGCGGCGGCGGCGCGGCCGGCGGCGACGGATGCAACCTCGCTTGAGCTGCGGCAACGGCGGCGGCGGCGGCGCGGATGGCGGCGAGCGATGGCGGTACTAGCGTCGATGGCGGTACTAGCGTCGGCGTCGGCGAGAGGGGCGGGGGCGGAGGAGGAGGCGGCGGCGGTACTAGCGTCGGTGACGGGGGAGGCGGTGGTGGCCGCGGAAGAAGGATGCGATAGCCAGGTTTTCCACGACCGACACCGAGGGGCGGAAAAGGAGGCAGCACCAGGGGTGACGGAGGAGGCAGCACCGGGGGTGACGGAGGAGGCGGCACCAGCCAGAAGGGCAAGCCACCGGTCACCCCGGGGCGGGAGGCGCCAGCACCAGGGTGGAACATGGCAGGTAGCCGGAGGGATTCCCGACTCGGGTCAGACGCTGTTTTGCATCGAAAGATTTTGCATGGAAAGAATTTTACTGCAGGGAAGAACCCGCGAAGACAACCGTGTGCGTGTGTCACTCACTCACTCACACTCACACGCAGTCCGGATTCCCTCAGTCCAGTCATCACCAGCCGTTCACAACCTTGTTATTGAGAAGAAAATACCTTATGGCGCAGCGCGTTGGTCTATGAGCCCTGGGGATGGGGGGAGACTACCTTCACATAAACACTTGAGCACTGGATAGGGAGAGAGATAGGGAGAGAGAGAGTTGTTGTTTTGTTTGCTGGATAGGGTCGATTCCGCATGGTACGGGACCCCTCGATCGTCTCGCCCTCCCTCACTGGTGTGTTCCTTTGGGGGGGTCATACCTGTGTTAGTGCCAGTGCGCGCCAGTCCCGTGCCCAGTGTTGTGCGAGGGAGTTTTGTTGTAAAATTCTTAGCTCCCTCGCACGTAAAAACTTTAGCTCCCCGGCCCTGGATACTGTTGAACGCACTCCAAGTGCTCCAAGTGCCCAGGTCCTCGAGCGAGATGTAAGAGCGGCCGCACACTGCTCGGTACCCCCCCTGCACATCTAAAGCCATCCCTGCTGCTAGGGGAGGGGGGGGGGTCTGCCCCCAGCAGCAGAGCTCTGCTGCTGGGGGGGGTCGGGGCCCCGACCCCCCCAGCAGCAGAGCGCACTGGACCCAGCTCCCGCCTCTTCGCCGCCGCCGCCCCCTCCCCCCTCGGCTCGGTGTTTGAGCGGTACGCTCGAGGGCGAGGGCCGAGGCGGTTGTGTTCCTCACCGCGCCGCCTGGCTGGCAGTAGGAGGGTACACCGTGAGACCACTGTTTTGGGGCGCCCGGGCTGAAGCGGCGCGAGTTCCTTACCCCCGCCCCTTTCTTCTTTAATAACAAAATTCTTTCATGCCCGGACAGAGATGTGTTTTGTTTAAATTCTTTCATGCCAACTTTGCATCTTTATCCGGTGGGTCGCTCCCTTTTCTTCTTTCTTGAATTCGTAGAATTCTTCTTTCTTAGATTTCCGTTATTCAAGGATTTTTTTTCTCTTCGCGCAGGCCTTGCAAGCGGCGGCTTGCGCCAGCTAGCCACAAGCGCCCGCTTTCCCCCGGTCTGGTAGCCTCTAGTTAGACCGACGCGCACGTGGACCTGCACGAGGCCATTTCGCCGGCGCAGCCTTCTCTGGGCTGCCGCATGGCAGCAGACACGTCTCTCCTCTCCTTGGCCTTGGCGCTCGCCTTGCGGTGGCTGCGACCAAGCAGCCCAGCGCCGCAGCAGCAGCGGTGGCACCTTCAGCAGCAGCGACAGGATCCTCGACGGGAGCAGCATCAGTGGCAACGGCGAAGGCGGCTGCACCAGCGGTCGTGGCGACGGCGGTGGCTGCTGTGCCTCTTGCGCTGGAAGCGTTGGCTGCGCCGGCGAAGGAGGGTGCTGGCATGGCGGCGGCGACTGCGGTGCAGGCCCCGGCTCTACTGGCGACGCTGGCGGCGACGACGACCGCAGCTGCGGCGCAGCCCGTCGGCACGAGCACCTTTGCTCAGCTTTGGGCGGCTTTGGCGGCCTCGGGCCTTACAGCCGCAGCTGTCGCACTCGCCATCGCAGTCGGCGGCGGCGGTTTCACCGCTGCGAACGCCGCCGCCGCACCCGCACCCGCAGCAGCGGGACATGGAGAGTCTGTCGAAGCGGCAAGCAGTTTCGACGTCCCACCCTTCGCAGCAGCAACGCCAACCGGCGTCCCCAGCACCGCCTCAGCAGGCCCCGCGCCAGCTGGACCAGAGCAACCGCTCTTGGTGCAGCCTGGGCCGCACACCAGCACCGCGCCTCCTCACCCTCTGTGCGCTGTACATGAGAGTCGACCTTGCGGCGTGCACGCCTCTCTCGCCGCCACCGCCGTCGCCACCGCCGCCGTCGCCACCGCCGCCGTCGCCACCGCCGCCGTCGCCACCGCCACCGCCGCCACCGCCGTCGCCACCACCATCTCCGCCGCCGCCCTCGCCTCCGCCGCCGTCGCCGCCACCGTCCCCGCCGCCGTCGCCGCCCCCCACGCCTCCTCCCTTGCCACCGTCCCCGTCGCCTCCTCCGCCGTACCCTCCACCGACACCACCACCGCCTTCACCCGCCGCCTCCGTCGACGCCACCCTCGCCCCCGCTAGATTCGCCACCGCCATCGGCTCGACCTACCTCGACTCCACCGTCCTCACCCCCGCCGTCGGCGCCTCCGCCGTCGCCTCCGACGCCCTCGCCACCGCCCTAGACGCCACCGCGCTCTCCGCAACCGCGTTCGCCGCCACCGACTGCGTGAGCACCGCTGTAATCGCCA